TTTATCTTTAAATCTCAAGAGATTGGTGTAATGTATTACACCCAATAGATGCTCAAAAATGCGTTACCAATTCAACAGAGGACAGGCAAGGTTTTGACAGGGCCTTAATAAATGCAAGCAGATGTAGCTTTACAAGTAAAAGCATGAAGGCAGGGTGTGTTGATAAAGCCTGGCATTAACGCAGTGCGTGGGAGAGACCTGAGACCCACGGCCTTACTAAAGCGTGCCTCTTAAGATTAACATGCACATACTCCCCTGTGCTGTATATTTTGGGGTAGGCAAAACCTAGGATAGAGACTATAGAAAAGATTTCCTTTTCCCCTCCAAGAAATGCACATTCTCAAGAAAAGGGAAGGAGAAATTCAACACACTAACCACAGATTCTTTAGGTTTCTTCACTTTCAAAACAGCAATTAATTTACACTCAGGCTTCCTCCCACTAGTTCCTTAGAAAATTAACCAGGTTATACCATGCATGCACAACTATAAAAACCAACATTTGGTAGCTCCTTGCTTGATCACTTTCTAGCAACAGCTCATATACTGAAAGCACAGATACACAAAACATACACACCAAGGTGAACCCTTGACTGAATCCTCCTATTAGCTGAGGCAGCCTCGAGACCCATCCTACAAATGTGTGTCTGGGCCTCGACTCTTTCAGCAAGTAAGCTTTGCTCAGCAGACCGGACCCCGTCTCCAGATAGTTGTTTGTGTGTCTGTCTTTTTATACTTTGACAAGAAGTCTGGACATCAGTCAAGGGAACATGGCAAGGGTGGAAAGATCAATGAGAGCATTCCCTTTATTTCTGCATCTTAATGAGAAATTCAGTGAATCCTGACATCAAACGTTCCATGGTTTGACTAAAAAGTAGCATGTACCTATAACAACACACAACAAACATCTTAATATCTTTACCTGCATGTCCATCAAGAACCTCAAATTTAGCGTGTTGGCAATAAAACATTAAGAAGAAAAAGTGTCCTCTCCCCTCTCTACCTTTAACCCGTGCCTCCTTCTAATCTCTCTAAAATGTTCATAGTGTCCAAACACAGAATCCAAGCAAAATTGGAAAGGAACCGGTTAACTTCATTTCCAGCTGCAAAAGAAGTGGAACTATTTCTAAGTTTTGCTGATCCATTGGCAATAAAGATTTTCACTGTTTCCACCTTACTTTCTACAATTCCTTAACATTTATCAATCTGACTTTCATATCAGCCACTTTAATGAAACTTCTTTTACTGAAGCTCTCTGGCTTTTCCGGGGGCTCTTTTCATGGCTCTTTCTTCATTCCAGTCATTTCTGCTATCATCCCTTTCTCTGATTTCAATCACCACAGACATACTTGATATATCTGTCAATTCTCAGTTCTGTGCTGACGAGATCAGGCTTCTCTCTTGAGTTCAAAACTCAAATGTTCAACTATCTTCGATACCAATTATCTATCTCAGATTTAACATGTGGTAATAAAAGACATTAAAAAAAAAAGTCCTTTCTTTTCTCTCCATCTTAACCTAATCCTTCTTCTATATCCCTAAAATGTTCATGGTATTTGTGGAAATTTAAAAATACATTCACGAAATCCTTTTATATTTGTCCCTTCAAGAGGTGAAGCCTGAGTGTGGACTTAGTGACTTATTTCTAACAAGGAGAATATGGTATAAGTGACAGTATTTGACTTACAGGACGAGGCCACGAGACACTGGGGCTTCCTCCTTGCTCTCCCATGGATCGCTCACTCTAGGGTAAGCCAGCTGCTATGTCACGAGGACACTCAAGCAGACCTACGGAGAGGTACACGTGGTGAGGATGAGGCTTCCTGCTAACAATCAGTGAGAGACTGAGGGCTTCCACCACCACCACCACCACCACGAGTGAGCTTTCTTGGAAGCAGATGCTCTAGCCCCAGACAAGCCTTCAGATGACTGCAGTCCCAGTCGACAGCTTGAGTGCAACTTTATGAGAGACCTTGAGCCAGGGGCACCCAGTTAAGCTGCCTCCAGACTCCGGACCCACAGAAACTCTGAGATAATAATTATTTGTGGTTTAATGTAACTAGCTAAGTTTTGGGGTAATTTATTATTCAGCAATAAGAGCACACCCGGACCCAGAATCCAAGGAAGGGAAACGGTGAAAGAAAATGAACATTGTAAGTGAGCTCTCTTCCCCTGTAATTGCACCCCTCCTCGTACCTTCTCACTAAGTAACACTGTTACTTACCTGGTATCCCAAATGAGAAACCTGGAAGCCATATATGACTCTCCCTAACAACTGTATCACCAAGTTACCTTTCTTTTCTCCTATCACCTGAGCCCATCCCTACTCTTACTGTTCTAACTCAGGGCCTTTACCATTTCTCAGTCACTACAACACAGCTTTCCAACTTTTCTCCTTCCTTACAGTCTTTTCCCAGCTCCATTCCATTGTCTGGACTAATGCCAAGAAGGTTAAAAAAAAATACCTGATCATGTTATTTATTTTTACTAAAATTCAATACTGTTTCCTACATTGCTCAGGACAAAATTCAAACACTACAGCATGGCACATGTGCCCCTTTCCTACAGCTTCTTCTGTCATCTCCCATGTTCACAGCCTACAGTCTGGCCATCTTTCACCTTTGCACATGCTGCTTTCTTTCTGCGTGGAAGATCTTTCATTCTCTCCTTATTGCACTTACTCATTTTTCAAAGACTCATTGCAAGGTTTATCTCAGAAACCGTTCCTTAATTATCAAGTCCAGGTTAGATGACCTTCTTATATTACTTTATTACTTTATTACTTATCACATAGATCACTATTGTGCCTTCCACTAGAACGTAAGCTCCTAGGGAAAAAATCTATCCTCGATATCTAAACATTCATTTATTCGTACATCCAACTTTTATCAGTAAGCAACTACACAACAGACATTGTCTTAGGTGTTTGTTACAGTGAACAAAACAAAACAAAACAAATATATATTATCCTTGTACAGCTTGTAGTCTATTCGAGAAAACAGTAAGTCAAATGAACAAATACTGTGATATGTGAAAAAAGAATGTTATGAGTAACTGTGGGGACCTGCTTTAGATTACATAGCACACAGATGCACTCAAACATTTACTGAATGAAATATTTATACCTTCACCACAGAGGTGTAAGTGGCCCAGGCTCATCATACCCTTGCCAACACTGGGTCTGCTTTTTGTTTTTTTTTAAATATTTGCTCATACTGTCAACGCTATTTTATTGTTTATACATTTTCAATACTAAAAATTAAGAAAAAGAACACAAGATCCAATATACATTAGAAAAAAAGAAGCTTGATTCAGCACAAGTAGAAAACTAAGACTGGCTTTATATATATTATCAGGGTTTCTCAAATAGATGGCTAAGGTAATTTCAAAACAACCACTTGCAAGATCACATTTTACTAAAAAGGAACAGTAAAAAAATGAAAGCCAAGTCTCTCCAGTATTCAGAAGTCTGAAGCAATCATTGTCTACCTTTTTTAAAAGAGCAAATTCCAAGGGAATCCCTGCATCTCCCTTGCTTCACTGCCAAGTGATTCACAACTGAAATATTTCTGGGAAATGTGGGTATGTGACAAAATTACATAAAAAAAAAAAAGCACAAACCATCAAGTCCACTGAAAACAAAGCTCAATATTTTAAAAAGGGAATGAAAGGATGAAGAAATTATATATTAAAATAAATTTAAAGATTTTACAATAATTACTCATTAATTAAAAAAATATTTTATAAACAACCAAGAAAATCAAAACAAAACTCGGTAGTAAAAAAATACTTACTAGTTTCTTATAATAGTTGAGAAAGTTTCGAGGACTAATTTCTTATATTAATATAAAAATGCATAAAAAATTCCAAAAACAAAGCAAATACCGCCTTGGATTACAAAGTTTGTATTTTACAAATGATGCACGTATTCGGTGCACATTAAAGAGGAATTAAACAATTAAGTCCATCCCTTCTTAAGTCCAAATTTGCTCCAATAACATTAATTGATCATGCCCTTTTCCAAATTCACCTCCATGGTCCTGAAAAATTTAAATTATCCACAATAATTGAATTGAATCTTTGCAGATGAGAAAAACACAGCATCTGTTTTACCACACATTAGTCTTACCAGTTGAAACATGAGATATGTTGAGAAGATATACTCAGCTCTTTGCTTTTAGTAATGTATTTCAACACTCAGCCTGGATTTGTGACAAGAGACAGAGGCATTCCTCAACAAACCTGTTCAACCACAAAAGTTTTTTTTTTTTAAACAAACTGATGGTTGCCCAACAAAAAAAGCATTAACTTACTTGTATATTTTCAGAGGCAGAGGATTTTTTATTTTTGGATTCTGCAATGGCATTTCACCAAAATTTTAAAGGTACTAACTTCATTAACCTGCAACAATCATCATTTTAAAGTAGTATATAAAAACTGTCATAATGGGTCAGAAATAAGGTTTACGTAACTCAAAATTATCTCTGACAGCAGTAAGATTTAACCTTTCGAGTCAATCTCAACAGACTGGCAATACAACTCAAATTATTAACATAATATATAATGATAAATATTGCTCTTTAAAAAAGCAAATTATTTTCCTATTTACAATTTTTGGAAAAGGTCTACTATAAAAATATTTCCTTCTCTGTACTTCCCTGCCATGATAATGTTAAAACGTATCTAGAATCTCATCGAACGTCAGGTATTAAGAGCACAACATTCTGTTTCGGGTGGAATACTGCTTCACATCGCCAACATGTTTTTTCAAGGCACTCTAAGAACTCCCAAGGACACTAAAAGAAAAATGTTCTCTTTGCCCCTCAAACTCTTCTAAACTGAACACTGTTATAACTGGCTTTGCTTTGTTTTCTATGGTTATAACTGGCTTTTCTTCATTTTCCAGGGCTTAAGTTATTTTTCTTTTACTTGGAGCCACTCCTTCATTTTCAACTTGCTGAGCAGGCAGGCTTTTGGTTTCCATGGAAACTGAATTCCTGCGGCTGCGGGTAGGCATTCTTGTTCCACCAATCTAAGAGATGAAGCAAAGAACAGGATGGCATAACATGTTTACAACATACCTTAATACAGTCAACTCTGTATTATTTACACATGGACTAATTAACTTGCAAATGGCCCTTTATACATGTTTAATCTCTAGTCACTTTGTTGCTTCTAAGTAAGCTTTAATCTGACACAGTTTTAAAGTATTAAATTTCCAAACAACAGTCAGGGAAGGGGATAAATCAGAGTCGATGGAGAGAAGTGAAGAGGAAAACCACTCTTCATCGTTAAATTTGGAAGAGTCTGAAATGCTAAATGAGAAAATGAGGGAATGACAGGCCTTTTGAGCAATGTGCTTAGAAAAATCAAGCTGAAGAGGAGGAGAAAAGAGAAATGAAAAATAGGAAGGGAGAGGAAGGAAATACAAGAAGTAGGTCAGGGGTGGTAAAGAGGGAGAGGAAATTAAAAATGGAGAAAGAGATAAAGAGTAAGTAAAACAGAAGAGTCCAAAAGAGAAGAAGGAAAAAAAGAACAAATGTGAAAGGAAGGGAAAAGAAAAGAACTCAATTTGAAAGGAAAATTAAGGAGCTGAAAGAGAAGAGCAAGAAAAAAATAAAGAAAAGGGAGAAGAGAAAATTGAAGGAGACCACGGAGGATGGAAAAGAGGAAGGAGGACGAAGAAGAAACTGTCGGGGTGCTGGTTCTACCTTAACATCTACTCTTTCTCAGCACAAGCTGCTGCTCCCACCCGCTTTCCAGCTCACACAGTCCAGGGAAGAAAGAGTATATTCTTAGGACGTAATCCCTAGCTAATTGTAGTCCTGGAAATGCTGTCATCCCTTGGCCACTGAGAGAGCATGAAGTTTTAAATGGGGTAATGGAAAAAGCTAGGCTTTGCGGAGAAGGACCAACGCTGTACAGCCTGAAACCATTTCCCTGGAACCTGTCCATAACTGCTTCTATCTTCTCTAGTGACCTTGCACCCTTTCCATTCCTTCACACCTTGTCCAGTGCACTCCAGACCTGGAAGCAAGATTCTACTGTAATTCCAACCATATTCATTTCTCATGTTCCTTATACAACAGAAGTATTACCAAGTAGCTCCAAGGGGCCACTGGCTCACTAAGAATGAATCAGACTTCAGCTTCCCTCACCTAATCTCTTGTCTCTTTAGAGGCATTTCTTGGTGCACACTTAGATGACTGAAAAAGACAAACCTGAGTTGGGATTTGAGTCTGCCAGTTTGTCTGCCTGAATCTGATGAAGTTCTGTAACCGACAGATTGGAAAACTGTTGTGATTTTTAGATTATCTTATCCCTCCCAACTCAGTTGGTATTTACTATAAAAGTATACTGATCACACTAATTGTATCTACTATATTGTTGAAGAAAGCAAGCATTCTGACCCTTTCACTGAGAGATCATGTGTGTGTGCGCACATGGGTGTGTATGTGTGCGCACATGGGTGTGTATGTGTAATCCACGTTGATTACAGAAGCTGTGGAAGGAGAAAACAGACAGACACAGGGCCACTGCAGGAGGGCTCGAGTGGGAAGAAGTCAGGAGCAGCGCAGGAAGCAGGTGGGTCCTCCCATTACGCTCTGCTTGATGGAGCAGGAGGCGGACACAGGCCATACTGGGGAATCCCTCAGGGTCAGCGCCTGAGGCACTGGACAAGGACGAGGTCTGAGTTCAGTAGACTAGGGACTAAGGAATTGTGTTAGAGGCAGAGACCCCTGTTACATGAGTTTTTAGATCAGGAAGTACGTAGATGATTTCTGTTTCAAATATCTTACTTTCTCAGAGTTCCTAAAGCTGTGGTCTTTTCCTTTGCTGCTAAAGCTGGAATCCTTATCTGTGTTTAGCCTGTTTGGACTAGAAGGTCCCATTCCTAAGGCCTTGCTAGGAAGAAGTATGGGAGAAAGATGGGGTATTCCCACCAAATGCAGAGCTAGACTGTGGGAAGGTATGTGAGAGATAACCAAAAACTTACGATGGACTTGGTAAAACATTAAACTATTCACTGGTTATCTGGTGTTCTACTGGACCTAATGCTAGGCTGTACAACAACCTGGTCCCAGATAATCTCACCAAGTATTTGTCCCTGGAGTGAATGCATGAGGCATCTTAAAAATCAGAAATCAACAAATGCTCAGTGTATACATAATTAAGTTGTTTAACTTTATGTGGCTAAACCCTGAACATACGGAATTGTGTCAAGATATTAAATAGCTCATTTTCACTAAAAAGGAAAAAGCCAGTCTCATATAGAATTAAATGTTATAGGTGAAACCATAGTCAGAGCTGCTAAATTAAAAGGAAATCATTCTCCCAGAAATAACATAAATAGTTCAAAAATAGTTTTCAATTATTATTTTTAACTCAAGAAATTGTTGTCTTTGGAGGTTATAAAATAACTTACTCTCTCCATTCTTTCATTTGCCCCAATTGGTTAAACACATTTATATGTTTTCCTGGCCAAAGTTAACTGAGAACATGAAAGAAGTTGTCAGTTCTAAAGAGGTCCTCCCAATAACAACATGAGGGCAGAGAAGTGAAAAGTACAAATAACTCCTGTGAACTATGAAACCACCGTAAATTATAGAAACATCCTTATTATTTGCTTTCCAGCTATTTCTCAAAAGGACTTGAGGACATTTAGATTAATTTAATGTAACACAGAAAGAAAAAAAAGAACAGAAACTATCCACCGGATATACAAATGGTACATGTTCTGGGGGCAAACATATTAAGAAGGGTCTAGACTCAGACCGTAATTTTTTGCAGCGGGGAAGGAAAATACACTGTGTTACTGTTTACTGAACACCCAGATTCATCTGTAGAGAATAAAACTTTTCCTTTAACTAAACCCAAACTGGAACTTCTTATATGATGTAAAGAACGAGTGGCATGGTAAAGAGCATCTCCAGCTGTGGCTTTAAAAGAAGTTTCAGATAGAGAAATATCATTCAACTGGTATTCTGGGAAAGATTCCGTAAAGAAAACAATACTAATTATAACTAAAATACTGAGTTATAAAATACTTAGCAAGACACAATCTAGTCCTTAACATTTTATTGTACTTTTAATAAGGCACTGCATTCACTAATTACTAGTACTTGTTTTTATATTTTTCCATATCCTACTTATCAATTTTTAACTGTACCATCATAATTTTATTGTAGGTATTATTCTGCAAATTGCCTCAAATATTTAATGAAATGAAACAGTATACAGTATACATAAATAAAAATTGCAAAAAACTGCAAAACTCTGCTTTTCATAGGAACACAGGGATTTAACTATGTGGTTGCCTTCTCCATGCCCTCACCGGGCAAGCTAACAGGATTTTCTTCAGTTGACTTACTTATAAACCTGACCAAAATACAGTTTCACTGACACGATGACTGGGTTCAGCAAAGCATATAACTTCATCTATCCTTCCTAAAGATACAGCTTTCAGAATGGCACTGTGATTGACATGGCAAATGTGGACATCAGGCTGAGATACTGTACAGTCAGTGAAACAGATTAATAATAAACAGTGGAACATGTAATTTCAAAAAAGTCTTACCTTTTGTTGTGTTGTGGGACCTGGTGATTTAGGCGGAAAAGTACAAGGTATTCTTCCATGATGGATATGATATGGCAGTAGGAGGCTGGGATCTAAGGGGACCCAGGGCACTGAGAGACTGGAAGGTACACCAGGAAGGCCGCAATGTGTTTTATGCAAATTGTATGCTGTCCTAGTAACTTTTCCATCAGAGGTCTTGTAGATCAGGAGTGAAGAATCTTCTGCTGCATGAGACAACAAGTAGGAACCCTCCTGCAAACTAAATCCACACAATGAAACTCAACTCAATGGGTCCCTGTGTCAGTTTCAGTAACACTTTCTTAATCATGATCTATCGGTAAAATTGAAAACAATTATAGGAATGTGACACCACTCCTAAAAATACTTTTATGACCAAGTAAAATAAGAGTCTTTTAAACTATTTTAATGCTTTTCAGCAACTAATTTTAATTTTTTCCAAAGTTCAGGATCTGCAATTATTTTCCTCCCACTGTTATGTCAGTTTCTAAGTGTTCAGTAACTTAATGGGAAACAAATAGTCTGCCTACGTCTCTCATCCAGGGACAACACATACCGAAAAGCATTTTATGAGGACATACACATACCACTCCTAGCCACAGCATTTAAACTGATTATAACACTGTATCTACTTTGCATCTACTACTAGGTGAATAGAGATAGAAAAGTGCATGTGACAGATTCACTGCACTGAGAAGTTTAAATAAAGCGACAGAAACAGTCGATGGAACAGTCACAGCACAACAAAAGGGGCTGTCAGAGTAAGAGAAACCACACCAGTTAATAGATACTGAGCGCTCATCGCGAGCTAATGACTGCTGTACTGCTTATATCCATTCTGTCACTAAATCCTCTACAACAAAACTTCAAGGCGTAATATTAATTATTAGCCCCGTATCAGAGATAAACAGACATCATAGATGCTAAGTAATTTGCCCAAAGTTCTGAGTGCAGGACTTGGACATAAACCTTGGCAGCCAAAAACCACAGCTATACTGTTAATTATGATCCCCTACTGACACAATAATCAGTTCTGTCAAACATCAGATCTACATTTTCCCTTTCTCTTTAGAAAGCTTTAAGGAATTCAGTGTATTAACACAGAGAGGTAAAAGGATATAACAAACATACTATGCTTTTCTGGGATTTCATACTTGTTTCGCTCAAAGGTGCTGAGGAGAACATCAGTCCTTTCCCCAAAGTATCATTAAAATTAAGGACTAGTCATACTTACAGGGATTCTTCCTCAAACCTGGTAAGTTACATTTTCATTCATTTATTCAAACAGAAGAGTAACAGGTGTTCACAAAAGAGGCTCAGAATTATTCTTATCATTTTCCCCCAATTACTTTCATATTTCCATATAAGGAAATGAATAATAATTAATTTGACAGTAGGAAGAAGTAACATTTCAAAGATTGAGTTTTTATCAGTGGAAACATTATAACTACCTTCAGTAAAAATGAAAAAAGCTTTGTTTTACAGAGACAATATGTGAAGAATGAGCCTCAGAGGGAGATGTGACTGTGAGAGAGGTGAGAGTGATGTGACGTAACGAGGACTCAACTTGCTTCTGAAACTCGGAAGAGGGAGAAAAGGAAGAGGGCCAAAAGCCAAGGAATGCAAGTGGCCTCCAAGTATACAAAAGTCAAGTAAACAGACCACACCCAGAGCCTACAGAAAAGAAGGCAGAAAAATCACACCTTGATTCTAGCCCAAAAAGACCTGTTCGGCTCATGACTCACAGAACTACAAGTTAATAAACTCGTGTTGTTTTACATTAATTTTGTGGCAATTTGTTACAGCTGCAGTAGAAAACTAAGATAATGATAATAAAATGTTAAAAAGAACCTGGCGAATTTCATGTTTAAGCACTGTACTTCACATGAAGAATCAAATATATCAAGTAAAAATCCTGCTCCAGACTCACAGAATCTCAGAAGTGAAAAGTACCTAGGAAATTACTTAACTCAACACCATCATTTCATAAATTAAGGAATCTATCTAGTTGTACAATAAGTTAAGCTGGAGAGTTAAAGCTTGGAGATTTTTGACTTTTAGTTCAAACTCTTGAATTGTTTTTTAGTTTACCTTTTGTTAAGGGTATAATAGAAGGAACACGCTAGTTCACATAATGAAATGGTTTAATAAATGATCAGGTGGAGAATCTATATTCTAAGGTTTTCTATGGACCTAATGGCTCTTGATGACTACCTCTATGATACTTCCTTATCCCAATAATGTAAACAATATAACTATGGAAGGGCTGAATAATGTTCCCCAAGGACGTCCACATCCGGTCTCCAAAACTCATGAATGTTACCCTTCAAAGCTTTGCAAATGCAATTAAAGATGCGATGTGATAATGAAAGCAGAGATGTAAGCGATGTACTCTGAAGATGGAGTAGAGGGCCACAGGTCAAGAAATACAGGTAGTTTTCCAAAGAAAATATACAGATGCCCAACATCACTAATCATCAGGGAAATTCAAATCAAAACCACAATAAGATACCACTTCACACCCGTCAGAACGGCTATCATCAAAAAGACAATAAATAACAAGTGCTGGGGAGGATATGAAGAAAAGGGAACCCATGGGTACTGTTGGTGGGATTATAAATAGGTGCAGTCACTATGGCAAACAGCATGGATTTTCCTCAAAAAATTTAAAATAGAACTGTTATATCATCCAACAATTCCATTCCTGGGTATTTATCTGAAGAGTACAAAAACACTCATTCAAAAAGATAAATGCACACCAATGTTCACCACAGTATTATTTACAATAACCAAGATGGAAGCAAGGTAAGTGTCCACTGATAGATAAATGGATAAAGAAGATGTGATATACATATATTATGGAATATTACTCAGTGATAAAAAGTGAAATCTTGCTATTTGCAACAATATAGATGGATCTAAAGGGTATTTAGACAAATATCATATGACCTCACTTGTATGTAGAATCTGAAAAACAAAACAAACAAACAAAAACAGACTTACAGAAACAGAAAACAAAAAGGTAGTTGCTACTGGAGGGTGGTGTGTGGGGGAGAAATAGGCAAAGGGGATTTAAGAGGTACAAACCTCCAGTTTTAAAATTCATAAGCCACAAGGATGTAATATACAGCATAAATAATATGATTAATAATATTGTTGTAACTTTGTATGGGGACAGATGGTTACTGACTTACTGTGATCATTTCATGATGTATGCAAATGTCAAATCATTGTGCAGTACACCTGAAACTAACATAATACTGTACACCAACTGCCTTTCAATTGAAAAAGAATAGAAATATAGGTAGCCACTAAAACTGAAAATCAATAAACAGAAACGATTATTCCCTCAGAGCTTCCAGGAGAAGCCAGCTCTGCTGACACAAGTTTAGATCAGTGAAAACTGACTGCAGATATTGACCTCCTTTTTAAGCTACTAAGTTTGTGGTAATTTGTTACAGTGGCAATAGAAAACCATTACAATAACCTTATAGAAAAAGGTAACTGCAAGCTCATTAAAGCCAAATACTATTATATTACCTTATTTATATTTTCACAATTTCAACTCCGACACAATAGAATAAATCTTGTATTCTAGGTTATTTCCTACTTATTGCTAACAACATTTAAGAAAATGAGACAGATCAACGCAAAATGTCCAAAAAATACTTACCTACTTAGTTTCCTTAGAATGTGTTGGAGGATGTTAAATAAACTTGAAATCCTATTAAACAGAAGAAATTCATGTAAACTTAAGTGACAAAATAACTTACTCTTAATAATTATGCCTCCTCATGAAATGTCCTCAATAACAAAAGAAAACAACAGATGAAATATGTAAAACCCAGAATAACAATATTTATTTATAATTTGATTCAATTACAGTATTTGCCTAATTTTTGCCATTTTTTAACTTGTCTTCAAAATCATAAAGTATTTGGTTTGTGGGAGTACAGCAGTTGTAAAGAGATAATTAGTTTTAAAATGTTTAGAAATCTTCAGCAGAACTAATCTGCAGAAGAGTTTGCCTTTTAAAGATGGTAGTGGTGAACTCCAAAGAAACTGAAAGGTACTTTAAATGAATAAAGGGAAATGAAATATAACATACTGATTTAGTATCTTTTCTAGACCTAAACTCATTGCCTTTATTATTTATTTAAAAATGGTTTTCACTGGTGGATGTAGGGCAGGCAGTGAGCAATGTATGGAAAAGCTTTCCTATTCACATAAATAAATAAAAAGCTACCCCCTCAAAAGAAGCAGTTCTTATAATGAAGCAGATGTTTAAGTATAAGCAGAGAATTCAAGTTTGAAGCCAGATCCTTCAAACACTGTGACAAGCCCCAAAGGTGGAACTACGCAACTAATAAAAGTCAGAACAACTTCCCACCCTCAGTGGTAAAACAAACATATTAACTACCAAGGTTGTCACTCCAGATCAGCTGCATGCTCTGGGGAAAGTCAGTCTCAGTCCCAGTTTCCTCATACATAAAATAGAGATAAAACTAACACCAGTCCTTCCTGGAAAGCTGTGAGATGCAAATTAAATTCATCTCAATCTGATGTACAGTAATGCTTGGTAGAAGGGCGGATTTTTAAAAGTCATGATGTCAGTCCTGAGAGCTAACAGTCTGACTGTCCTATCTTCTCATCCCTAAAAAGGGCTGAGATGTATGCTTCCTTACACCTCCAAGATGTAGGCTATCATATTCTTCTAGCCTCCTTTGTATTAAGTAGAAATACTGGTGCCAGTCTACAGCCATACCACCCTGAACACACCCAATCTTGTCTTAAATACTGGTGCCACTAGTATATTTTCTTGGGAGAGAGAAAAGATTAATGTGAAATGGATCACAAATGGGGTCAGGGGAAGTGTACAACAGGATTAAAAGTCTTGAAAATAAATAATTTAAACTTAACCAATATATTTAGAGATAAATGAAAATTAGTGATCATACTATCAAGTTTTAAAATTTCCACTACAAAGTAAAGTTTCTTACTTGAGTGCTGAAAGTTTTTCTTTCAATTCTTCTGAGGTAATTTCTTCTAGCAGGAAAAGCTTTGAAGTAAATGCATCAATATGTCCTAAAATAAAATATCAAACTCAAAAAGAACTATGGTGTTTAAAAAACAAAAAAACAAGTTATCTAGTCTCTTTAAAAATATTTTTACAAAACTGTAATAACTATAAAGGGACTTTATATTCTAAAAAGAGACAAAATTCACATTTTATTAAGTTTATTAAGTAAAGTTATATTTTAAAATAACATAAAAGTCATAAAATAACATTAAAATAACTTATAAAAGAAATATGTATTACTTCCAAAATATTCACTGAATCTAGAAAAGTTTACAGAATCCACACCCAAAAAATCATCTCTAACCCATAATTTAAGAATAACAACTGTTAAAAGAGGGGTTGTTCTAATTCTTATTAAAGTTGCATTTCTATGGAAATTAAAATTTTAGAGAAATATGTACCTATTATTAAAGCAAGTGGGTAAAGTCAAATTTATAGTTAGGCCATGTGCTGCAAATTCCTAAAACAGACTTAAAGATAGAAATTAGATTATAAAAATCTGGCTTAATCATTCACTGTAGCCAAGATATGGAAATAACCTAATGCCCATCAATGGATGTCTGAATAAAGATGTGATACATACACACACACACACACACACACACACACACACACAATGGAATATTATTCACCTATAAGGAAAAAAGGAAATCCTGCTATTTGCAACAACCCAATGGACCTTTAGGGCATTATGCTAAGTGAAATAAGTCAGAGAGAGAGAGACAGAAATACTGCATGGAGTCACTTATGAGGAATCTGGGGGAAAAAAGTCAAACTTACAGAAACACAGGAGAAAAGTGGCTCGCAGGGGTTCGGGGGCTAAAGAGTATAAACTTTCAGCTAAAAGGATGAATAAGGTCTGAGGATCTAATGTGTAACATGGTGACTATAGTTAATAATACTGTCCTGCATAACTGAAATATGATAGGGGAGTAGAACTTAAATATTCTCATCAAAAAAAGAAAGAAAAAAAAATACATGAGGTGATGGACGTGTTAATTTACCTAAATGGGAGGAATCCTTTTACAATACATATGTATATCAAATCATAATGCACACTTTAAATATCTTACAATTTTATTAGTTAACTATGTCTCAATAAACCGTAAAAAAAATCTGGCTTGGTTTTTAATTAAAGCACATCATAAGATTTCCTACAGTTTAAAAAAAAAAATCAAAGGAGTTTGTTACAAGTCTTACTTTCTCACAAACATGACCTAATTCTAGAATTCCAAAAAACACAACAGTCAATTACCAAGATTACAATTCCATTTAAAAAGTAGTATGTATATTCTACAACAAAACTGGTTGAGACACAACATTGAGGCCAAAATGTTTCAAGAAAGTAATATAAAAGATAGTCCTTGGTCACATGTTATATAATCATGTCAATATAAAAACTATGCTATAGTAATATAGTTAAAAACATCACTAGCATAAGAGTGTCATACTCACCAATGCTGAAAATAACATCATTTAAATTTTAATTTTCTTTAGATTCTATCATTTTTTTTGATGAGAACTCTTAGAATTTATTCCCTTAACAGCTTTCAGATATAACATACAGCAATGTTAATTATATTTATCTGTCATTTATTTATCAGAACATGTGACCTGGAAAGCTGACATCAGTCCTTGTGCAACAAAAGAAAACGCACATAATTTAATATCATATTTTCATATGTAGGACCCCTTTCATTTGCTTTGTGCTTGTAAAAAAGAATTAGAAACATTTTTACCAGACACTTTTCTTCTAAAACAACAATCTATTTTTCCCACACCTACTTATTATTTCCTGTGCCAAGTTTTAGTTTCACCTCTGCATTTCTAACACTCATTATACAGTGACGTTTCTAATAACAAAGACACATTTTAATGGTTTAATAACTGTAGAAAGGGAATATTAAGTAGAATAAAACATTTTTAGACATTCACTAAATATGCTTTTGAGGAAACTAACAGTTCTTATCTTTTTAAAGCAATCTCAACAAAAAGTATGTGTTATAGTGTACATCAGATACAGGCAGTCAGAAATACACACAGAACATCATACTAAGTGCTGTGAGGCCCCACCTCCTCAAGGAGCTTCTAATTCTCTCAATATTGGAGCATTCTGACCTGTGGACCTCAAGTGAGTCATACGTGTGCTTGAGACACTTATCTCTTCAGTGATTCTAATACACAATCAAGTTTAAGAATCGCTGGACCAGAGACCTATAAACCAATATGCTCTTCAGTTAAGTAACTGAGATCTTCTATTACTTGTGTCCCATGAGATATGCTATATCTGAATCTCAATCACACATGTAAAGTTTACCCTCCCAGTTATCGCCAAAAGATCTAATGCAACTTTGTCCCCAACTTTGATTTCTGGGAAGAAACTGTCTTAAATTCTTTGAAATATTGAAATCATAGGGCTAGGGAGGGCAAACTGACAAGAAGTGCTTAAGTTACATGGAGGAGTGGCTAGCAAGAAATGAGTAAGGAAAACTCACGCCACAACTGAGAAAGGACCACGGTGCCTGAGTGCATGGCAAAGAGGAGAGGGGCACCTCGAAATCTTCTGGTTAGGATTTTAAGATCCCAACTTCTGAGACACAATAAATCATTTGTCTTAAGTCACACTGATTAACCTTGTTATACACACTGTACTTCACTTTTGTTATACACACTGTACTTCACTTTTGTTATATTTAACATCCTCTCCTCCCCTCTACCCCAACCAATTCTTCCCTAGCCCTTTTTAGGTTTACACCAAGTTAGAAAAATTTCAAAACTGTCACTAAATTCTGATTCTGACACTGATGAACTCTGTGTCTATCAGTAAGTTACTTAATCATTCTGAGCTTTATTTTTTTCTTTTATTTAGAGCAGCAGTCAACACACATTAAAAGCTGTTAACAGCAATTAAAATTACAAAAACGTTTGGAAAGAATAAAATAATACGCAATATGATTAATTATGCTTTGTTGTTTTGATAAATCTAGTTTTAATTCTGTGTGATACAACTATTTGAAGGATGGATTTAAAGTTCAGTTCACTTTGCTATAGGTTTTAAAGGCTGTCATAGCTAAAAAAAGGTACCCGCAATGATACACAGATCCAAACGGAACAAATGCCTCATTGCGAGGGTTGCTCAACCATGACAATGTTATATTTAACACCACACACCAATTACCCAAAAGTTTTTGCTGAAATTCTACTAATGAATGTCCACCCTCCCTGGTGTTAGTCAATTTTTTATATGAACTTAAGGTAGGGGCTGCACTCCTATCCTAGAGGCTCTTTGGGAGATTCTAAAAGAAAAGTATTTTCAAATCTGGTTCTAAGCCGTAAGAGTACACAGATACATCAGGTTTTTTGATTTTGTTTTAAATAAGCAACACCTTTCATTTTTGGCAACAAAATCATACATAAAATATCCCTGAGGATGCTATACAGCACAGCTCTAGGGGTGGCCATTCACATGGAACAGACTGAGCGCAATGTCTCCCTGGCCATGTGCAATGTGAAGACAAGGAGAACACTTTCCATTTTACATGTCACAGGACTCCATGACAACATTCGAGAGAGAGGACCACCTGTCGATACACATAATTAATACCAGAAATGTTTAATTTTTTTAGAGAAAAATTAAATGAGAGTATTTTCTTCTTGTATCCCATTGTAAAAAGAATAACATATATAGATTCAGTGGTTTGTTTTCTGTCATTTCCCTTCTGCTTGCCTTTTCTGTTCCTTCAACCAATTATCCAAGCCAACTTCGCTCATTCTAAAAATACTCACTGAGTGCCTCTGTGTTCTAGATATTGTTCTAGGCACTTAGGATGTATCAATAAACAGAAGAGACAAAGGCAATAAATATCATGAGTAATTAAATCACACAATTTGTTAGTGGTGACTCAAAAAGGGACTGGGAATATATTTGGAAACAATAACCCAAGGAAGAAAGAAAAGCAGAGATGTGAGCCTGGCACTTGGGGCTGCTTCTGTCTTAATTAAGAGTGTCTGTTAATCTGGAAAAAGCAACCAAGAGACTGAAAAATGTACCAGAGCTTTCAATAGTCTCTTAGGATTAGAGAAACAAAAACTGGAGTTCTGGGTCTACGAAGTAGATAAACACTAACGTTCTAAGTTGGGGCCCTGGTTTGGTGATTCTCTAAAAGGACTCATAGCCTCAGCATACAGTTGTAGTCATGGATGAGATTTATTGTTGCAAAAGGATACAAGCAAAAGAAGAATCAGCAAAAAGAAAAGAAATGTGGAGTGAAGTTCAGAGGAAATGAGGTGCAATTTTCAAAAGTACTCTCCTGAGTTTCTATTTGGGATGATGAAAAAGCTCTGGAAATGGAAAGTGATAATGGCTGCACAACACTGCAAATGTACTTAATACTAAATTGTACACTAAAAAATGTACAGTAAATTATACACTGAATTGGTTAAAATGGTATATTTCATATTACGTATGTTTTATTAAGGCAGTCCTTTCCCACTGGAGTCACACAAGATGCACTTAATTTCTCCAGCAATTTTTTTTTAAATACCAGAGAAACCTATTGGAGACTCAGTACTCAGGGTTTTTATTGGGGGCTCATTATGTAGGCACCCTCTGCCTAACACACACCAAAATTTCAGACTCTCAGAAGGAAAGCAGGTGTTCAGAGTGAGCCATATTGTTTGCAAACAGTGTAGGCACAATGAGCCATCCTATCAGCTATGGGAAGTCTATTATCAGTGTAGAAAACCATTTAGTATCCAAGTTCCCAGAAACCAGCAGAGAGCTAGCCTCGCAAGCAGGCTTTTCCAAAGACTGGCAATGTCAGACCATGAAAGGCAACGTCCAGCAATAAGTGGGAAGTAAACTGGCCTTTCTACAGTCCAAAGTCAAGCTTCAAATCACCTAAATCCCTGTAACTGGATTATAGCAAACCAGGATTGCTAGTGTGGTCAAAAGTAATCCTGTCTAGAGGAAGAAAACATTTTAACTCTCACATTATCTCTATAA